TGTGTGTCTGTCTGTGTGTGTGTCTGTGTGTGTGTGTGAGACACACATGTCCCTACTATCTTTCTTTGTGTGTTTCTGTGTTTCAATATAAACACACCAACAGTGTGAGATACAGCCAAATAGAGTGTTTCGCTGTGTTTCATACTGTTCATATCTGTATTGGTTTCACTGCACCTGCTGTGTTTATCTGTGCAAGTGTCTGTGTGTGAGAGATTGTGAATGATGGAGTCTGTACATCAGGCTGTGTAACAGTGACTGTGACTGAGGATGTTGGGGTTGTGGGTGTGTCAGTGGGAGAGTGTGAATACAGCTGTGATGGAAACATTTACATACTGATTATTGTGCAGTTATGGTTTTTTCTGCAGCCTGTCTCCCGATGCCCCACAACATCATTTCAAATTTTGCATTAATTCTCTGTGTCACCAAGTGTGAACTCATGCTCGTTTCTGAGTTAAAAGATAATGCTGAGTTTTGATTGCTCACCTGAAGGGGTGAATATTTACCAAACAACAAACAAAACCTCATCCATTGTGGACCCAATGGGCAGTTGATTTTAATCCCAGGAGGGGCACTCTTTCAGGAGGGGATAACAATGTGCATAGTAGGGTGTAGATCCTGAGGGGCTGTGGGAAGCCTGTTACAAAGCAATTGCTGCTGGATTGAGGGCCTGGCATTGGGAAAGGGGACCCTCTGAGACCCACCCTCTACTCTGCACCCCCCCCCCCCCCCCTCCCCCCCCCCCCCACCCTCCCCACCCCCCCCCCCTCGCACCGCCCCAATCCCCCACCCCATGCACCCCCCCCACCCTCATGAGCGACGCATCACTACCCCCATGATTCCAGTCCCCCACCGCCAAGAACCCGCAAACTACAACATCCCCAGGACACCAAGCAGTGGGCAGGGCCCCTGTCACCTGCATTGAAACCCTCCCCCACCCAACATGGACACTTTGGGGAGCAAACCCCCTCTGTTGAGAATGAGATGATGGGAACACCATTGCAATACTCAGTGACAGCCCACGATATGTAGGTGATGTGGGCTGAGGACGGAGCCGAACTGTCACTCACTCTTCAGCCAAATCAAAGGATTCGGAGTGTGTTTCCTCACCCAGTTGCAAAGAAGGGATTGTTGTATTTTTCTCCTTGTCCTTTAAGATTATGATACTCCCCAGTGTTCGAAATGAGGGTGAGGGATTTTCGAAGGGTGATGCTTAAATGTTCAAAAGTGAAGTTATTGCAAACAGATTACAAATGAATGGAGAGGCACGCTTCATTGCATAAACTGAGGTGAGAATGAACTTATCTGCAATTGTGCCTGCCCCCTGTTTTGGACGTTCAGCCTTACGCAGTACTCAGTTGCTTGGCCTCGTCGCTCCAGGCTCGCGTTTGTGATCCACAAGCCATCTCTTGCTTTGCTTTATTGTTCTATTTCGGGGAAATGCAGAACTGAAATCTAATCAGCACATCAGTTACAAACGCGCACATGCACCTTCTAACCCAACAACCACAGCTTCTGTCTGCCCCTCACACGTAAAAGCAGAAGTGAATCTCAAGATAATATCCCTTACCCAAACACAAACAACTCAATTAAAATGCAATTAGTATCCACCTCCCACCATCAGCATTTCCTCTTTCTCTCTCCTTCATGTGTGTTTATCCAGTTTCCTCTGAAATCTAATTGATTTTAATTCTCCTCGACCATTCCCTGTGGGAATGAGTTCCATGTTCTCCCCCCTCCAGGGGTAAATTTATACCCTCAAATAACAGGAAAATACTGCAGATGCTGGAGGCCTGAAATAAGAATACAGAGTGCTGCTGCAACCCAGCAGCATCTGTGGAGAGAGAAATGGAATTAATGCTTTGAGCCCGATGACTCTTCTTCGAAACATTTCTGGAGAAGATTCCTACCAGATTTGAGACATTAACTCTGTTCCTCTCTCCACAGATGCTGCCAGACCTGCTGAGTTTCTCCAGCACTTTCTGTTCATGTTTTATTTATGTCCCTTGATCCTCCACAAGGGAGAATGCCCAAATAATTGCACTATCAAACCCTTAAATAATTTTAATAACCTCCTCCCAAGTCACTTCTTAGTCATCTTTTTAGAGAAAAGAGCCACAGTCTGTTCAAACTTTCATGTTAGTTATAACTTTTCAGTCTCATATCAAATTAGGCAAGTACCTTTCCCATCTTTGTCACTGGCTCTAAGTCATTTTTGTAACTGGAGACCAGAACTCGAAGCATGGTCTAATCAAAGTCTATAGAAAGACCATAGGATCTTGTGGTGCAGTGGTACTGTCCCTACCTCTGGGCCTGAAGATCCCTGCTCAAATCCCCCATTCCTGGAAGTTGTATCAAAATATGTCTGAATAGGTTGATTTGAGTAACTGTAAAAAGACCAGAACTGTGCACATTGAAGATTGAAAAAAGGTTCATTTCTGCTTTAAATCTACTTCCACTCTTAAGAAACCAACCTCTCGACTTGACCAAAGGTGAATCCAGGGCTAATTGTAGCGAACAAATGTTGACTCGGGCTTGAGGTACATTGGAGATGAAAACAAAGGTTAGCAATAAGGATGGCAGGGTCTTGGAAATAGTTATCTTCAACCAAAGGAATTGGGGCATTCTACACCATGTACTGTACATAGATACATGAGTGATCCATTTCCCCATTCCCTCAGCCCCAAGTTTAATATTTGATGCCTAGTGCAGCTTCTCTTTAAGATGCTTCCATTTTCTTGAAGCCAAGGGTCAGTTTCTGAACTGTTAACAATGTATGTGCCCTCTCCCATTAAAACCCTGCTACACTTCAACCTTCACCTGACATCCCCATTTCATCCCCCCCATTGTTCCATTTACTCAGTTTTGTTAATCAATGCAGTCATTCCACTCTTATCCATGATTCTGGTTGCAAACATTAGCCCACATCCCCTGGCCCTGTGCATACAAGCAGTCTGCACAGAGTCTGCTTGTGAGAGTGTGTGCCCTTGGGTGTAATACAGAGAAACTGCACCCTGCGATATTCCACCAATCTGCAGAATTTTCACAGGCCTTTGGAGAGGGGAGAGAGGGGTGGTTGTGGTTTAGTTGGAAAGATGGGGAAGTAGAAGCTTGGTTTAGGGCAGCAGCAGGATCTGGAGACTTGAGGGTGAGAGGGAGGTTGGAGACGGGTGGGATTCCTTCCATTCTGCAGAGTGCACACGGTTCTCTCATCCTACAACTGACTAATTAGGTGCTGACTTTATCCTCCTCTTCACTTTCATTCTGTGCCTTGCCTTCAGCACGTTCCAAACCATCTTTCCGATGGAAAAACCTGTTCAGAAAGAGGAATCATTGTATTATTCTCCCTGCCACCCTGGTTTGTATGTCTGTGGCTCTTAAAGAAGACCTCTCCTGCACAAACCTAAGCTTTAACACAGTGATTGTACCTGATGTTGACAAGAGCAGAACTAGGACAACCGACATTGTGGAGGGAGGCACAGTGCGGGGTCATGACATGGAAGGGCAGCATTGAAACTACAAAGTGTGGTCTTTAAAGCAGTAACGTATCCCTAGTTTTAAAGGGGCGTTGCATTGCACAGTTTGGAGGGCTGACCCAGAGACTGTAAGCTTGCTCCACAATCTCCTTAATACTTGTTGTGAGGGATGTGGTATTGGGCTCGATTGTAACATTCAATAGAATCAAAAGGCTCCTTTTGGGTTAGGCAGGTGAGATGGTATCTGAAGAGTTGCTTTTGGAACGCAGTTGACTTGAGCAGACTAGTTCAGAACAACTGGACACCCCACCCTCTTCTACTTTGACTTCAGTTTCAATCAGGCTGAGGTAGTGGTATCAGGGTCTAAAATGTACAGGAAGATCACAGGTCAGTAATATCAGTAAGAATGTGAAGATTGTTTTATAAAAATTGTTCATTTTCTTTGTGTTGATGGCAAGGCTGGCATTTATTGCCCATCCCTTAATGCCTCACAATAAACTGATGCTAGACCCTGTTCCTGAATTGCTGAAGTTGCAGGCAGTGCCAATAGGTCAGCATTCTGACCCAGCAATGGTCAAGGACTTTAGAAGGTGGTTGGGCCAAGTGAACTGATTTAATTCCTATGTCACAGTGAGGGGGTTTCTCTGATCCTGTGTTATTGATCTGTTTTGGGGCTCAGTAGACCCATCTGAGAGGAAAACATCCACCCCGTTTTATCATATTCATAAACGTGACATTTGTCAGTTATTGCAACGACCAAACTTTCTAATTGTCCCTGCGGTAGCAGATGTTGTGGTGGAGATTGGAACTATTCCCTGTCTTTGACCTCAGCTTGGGAAAAGAAAATAACTTGGACCTGTGTCAAGCCACGAGTAAGTAAAAGAGCAGCTGAATGGTTAGAATATTTCTCTTGAGTTCAGTTGTCTTGAGTTTGGATCAAGACGCCATCACCCAGTGTTTTGATGTTTATGAGCAGCGGGGAGTCTGAATCCTCACATGTGAATGTCCCTCAGTCGGGCTGACTGCTGGGTGAAACTGCCCCGAGAAGCAGAATCTCAGCCTTTCTCAGCTGCCTGCTTTCAGGGGCACCCTGGGCTGATCTCCTGTTCCATACACTGGCAGCTGGCAGCGGTACCTGGAGGAGCTCCTTCACATTAAGTAGATCCAGAATCCAGCCTCACTGGCCTTGTTTCCATGTGAACACGTTTGACTGTAAATCCTGTAAGGTTTCCGAGAAAGCTCCCCCATCCGCACCAGAGTGAAATTAACCCTTTTAAAAACTGAAAGAACTGCGGATGCTGTAAATCAGAAACAAAACCGGAAAATTGCTGGAAAAGCTCAGCAGGTCTGGCAGCATCTGTGGAGAGAAAGCAGTTGGAAGGGTCACTTGATCCAAAACATCAACTCTGATTTCTCTCCAAGTGACCCTTCCAACTGCTTTCTCTCCACATCTGTTGCCAGACCTGCTGAGCTTTTTCAGCAACTTCTGTTTTTGTTTCTGAAATTAACCCTTTCTGCTCAGGGAATAAACTGAGGTTCAATACTCACTGCACTATTGAAACTTTATCTTGGAGTTAAGATCCAAAGTAACCCAGCTCTTGATGGGACCATATACCTTTGGAAAACTCTCCTGTTCAATAGTCACCATTGGTTAATACAAAGTGTTAAGTCTGTGTTACAGCATATTCAGAGTGACAATTTGCCTGCCTACCTCTGGTTTATTTACACTTGGCTTGCAATTCATACCACCCTGACACGTAATGTGCTATCACACTTTCTGAGTCACCTTTAACGAACAAGAGAAAATCAGTGACCCTGGAGGAAATTCAATATATATTCCCTGTTATAACACTCTATTTTAAAGACAAATAGATCATCTGTCTTGTCGTGAGGAACTTGTGGAATATTTCAGTTGTGAGAGCCACATACAGTAGCTTCAAGTTATATGATCTTACATTAATTCCCCACATGCTCACCTCACAAGCTCAAATCTCGTTTCTGTGCCATTAGGGGAAGATTGTGCCCGATACCTAAATGAAGTTGTATGTGCTGGCATGTGACAACCAAAGACCTCATCACCATCCGAAATAACTCACCAAACTTCAGCGCAATGCCAAACAGGACGGGGCAAAGTCGTTGCTGGACAACAGTGAGACACATAGCTGTCCCGTAAATTGCCAGTGTCTTCTTCCTGTCCTGTTTCTCTAACCGTGTGCCATTCTGTCATCAACTGATCTTTCAACCGAGTGCATCATACATATGTAAACACTTACACACACATAAAGAAACTTCTGTTCCCATTCATTAAAAAACAGTTATTACCAACAGAAGAGGATGGCTTTTCACGTAAAGTTCTTCAACAAATGAAAGTATTTATGGCAATTTGACCAAGGTGCCAGGATGTAGTTAACAGTCTCAATCATTCTGTTGTGTATAAACATTAATGACCAAGAAATAGAATTGTTTTCACCACACTCGATTTTTTGACCATTTCTTTCTCTTCAGCTGTTTTCAATGTGTATAATTGTTGTAATTAAGTTCACTATTTATTCCAATCTGTACAGCAGCATCTTTCCAAGGGAAGAGGTGCAGGGTCCCTGTTAAGCTCTGATTTAGAGTATGACTAGTATCTATACCTGTATGTTGTTGTAGATGTAACACAAACTGCTTCATATAAAGTTTTCAATAACATTTTGATTGTCCTTGTCTTATGTTCTGAAACTTTGTACTGTGCTTTAAGTTTCTCTGATGTTTTTTCCCATGTGTTCACTGACCTACTTTGGGGCATTTCTGGACCACGAGCCAATGTTAAAATTCTCATCTTGATCCTAAGGGAGAAGATTGCTATCTGGCTGTGGAAGCATGTCAGCTTTTGATCCCACCCCTTCAACCAAGTGGGAGACTCAGAACCTTTTGCACCAGAATAACTCAAAAATCTTTTTCTGTATGTTTGTGATAAACTCCACTTGAGGGTTGCGCTGTCTGTGATTGCAAGGGAAGGTGCCATCAGAACCAGGAACAGGATCAGGCAATCAAGCCCCTCGAGCCTGCTCCACCATTTAATACAATCATGGCTGATCTCATCTTGGTCTCAATGCCACTTTCCTGCCTCCTCTACATAACCCTTCAACTCATTACTAATTAAACATCTCTCTATCTCCTCCTAAATTTATTCGGTGGACCTGCATCCCACCGCATTCTGGGGGAGTGAATTCCACAGATTCACCACCCTTTGAGAGAAATCATTCCTCCTCATCTCTGTTTTAAATCTGCCAGCCCTTAGCCTAAAATTATGACTTCTCATTTCTAGGTTGTCCCACATGAGGGAACATCATCCCCACATCTACTGAAAGGATCAAGCATTGCCAACAGCCCTGGTGGGATTCAAATCGTTGACCCTAGAGCATTGTCAGATTATAAGTCCACTACACTATGAATGGGTGATTGAGATAGGGTTAGCAGTGATGGAGGAGTAGACCAGGAGGGGAACTGGTCAAGCTGCAGGGCCTATCAGTCCTCCAGCCGCAGGGGGGCGCTGCAGGCGGAGGACTTGGACACCCATGCGTCATTAATTATGCAGAACAGTGCAGAAAGTGTTGCAGTTTCCCATTGCATTTTGCAGGCGACTTGTTTCCAACTTTAATCCAATTTGGAGACAAAAGTTAACTGAAAATGGGATAAATCTGCGTCTGATCCCGTTAAAGAGAGACAATCTCTTGAATAATTAAATAGTAAATAATTAATTATTCATAAGATCTGCTTTATTCCAAGTGCAGTCCATCTCCCATCCATTTGTTTGATCTTCTGGCTTTTTGTATTCAAGATCGGTTCGATTTGACATTTTAAAAATGCAAAAATAAAAACATAAACCCAAATGTTTTTCAGCAAGTCCCTAACTGACATAGCTGTGAGTAATTCATAAAGCTTTTAAATAAATGAAGGTTGTGTCCCAGCTTTGTTTTTGCTCAGGAGTATAAACATTTAAAATTAACGCAAGTGGGGTGCAGGTTGCAAATGTAAAAATAAAAAAAGGAGGAAGGTTTTGTAAAAGGGGGGTGGGCAGCAGGAGGTAAGGGATGCTCTGGGTTGCTATTGGTCGTTGGGACAGTCAATCATTGCCACGGTGTGGTCCCGCCCCCTCCTGGGCCCGGGACTGACGTCAGAGCGGAGCTGTCAATCAGCTGCTGCAGTAGTGTTCAGAGAGACCGGTCCTGAGGCAAACGCTTGGAAGGTGAGGATGCTGGGGTCGAACGGGCAGCGCTGGGCATCAGGATGCAACCTCTGCATTCCATCCGATAGCTTAATGTTTTTAAAATAGCAGCAGCTTCAGTTCGCATGATCCATATTTACCATTATTTTCCCCCCATAACCTTCATTTGACATACGAGAGTTGGGGGTTGGAGAATATGGGCGTAAATCATAGCGGTCTTGGAGGCATGGCACAAATTGAAATAATGTAGCTTACGGTTTGTCTTTAAAATGTTCCTTTCCCCCACCCCATGTCTATTTTCATTAATGTGTGTGGAAGGGTGCTGGAAGTGATGGTCTCTCTCTCTCTCTGGTTCATTCATTCTGGTTCCTGCAGCCTCTGTGCCTGTCATTGCAGCCGCTTGCAGCTCACATCTCACATCTCACAGCCAGCATCACCTTCCTGAGGTTTGTGCTGGACCAGTCTCGCTGCTTTCTCAAGCAGCAGAGATACTGACACCATCGCCCTGTGCCTCCCCACTGCAGACTGAGTGATAGGGGGTGGGGTGAGATTAATACATTTCCCATTGACACACTGACTGGTCGTGCTGCATAAATTGTGGCAGAAATTAATAATTTACGGTATGATCCTTGAGATGCATGTATTATGTATTCATTGCTACATGCAATAGGCAGTAAATACAACGTATCTTAACGTGAATTAACACCTCGAGTGTGACAAGAAAATGGTTACTGGGCAACGTTTCTCGTCCAAAAGAGGACAAGCGAGCCCCAGCTGGATTGCAGCGGATTTGTGCTGGAGGAACTTGTCCCCCAGTTTATTATTAATCTGCCCAATAGAGGGCACAAGGCTGCTAGTTGAGGAAAAGGGTTTACATATTTTGCTCTCAGAGGCATTAGTCTCTGCCTGTTAGAGGGCTTCTGCTTTTGACTTTGAGTTACGACTGAACTGGGCAAAAATCTATCTCATTCTAAATACTCAAGTGATGTATATTAATTGTGCCTGTTGTTCTTAATTTGTCTTTTACAATTTTAACTATCAAGTAATATACAGTTACAGTTCTGTCCCCATCAGTACTGTACCCCAGTGTTATACAGTGACAGACCTGACTTAACCTCTAACTGTGCCCTACTTAGTCCCAGCCTATTCTATTGTTGCTGCTTTTTTTTTCTTATTCTGGACATTATAATGGGTCTATATTCAACAAAGCTATTGATCTGAGATGTGTTGTTATGTGAACTGCTCTATAAATAGGTCTATAGGTACATTACAACACAAGGAGACCATTCAGCCCCTCAAGAATGGTCCTCCATTTAATAAGCTCTTGGTTTGGTCTGTAGCTTAACTGCATTTACCTCTTGTTTCACAGTGCATCTAGCCTTTGTGTAAAAATAAACTATTAGTAACAATCTTGAGATTTTTAATTTGCACCCAGCTTTAAAATATTTGAGCAGAGTGAGTTCCTGATTTCTCTATTCTTTGCATTTAAATGTCCTAAGTATAACCTTCCTTGATTTGGGAAATGTTCCTTTAGGTTGAAAAATTGTCATCCTGCAATTTAAGTAGCTGAGAGCGGAAGCCAGGGAGAGATGGACCAGCATCTGTTGTCGAAATATTGCTAGAGTCTGTAATTAAGGTCAGGGTGACTGAACATCTTGAGAATGTTCAGCTGATCAGACAGAGCCAGCATGGATTTTTAAAGGGTAGTTTGTATCTAATAAATCTGATGAACATTTTTTGGTAGTGACTAATGTAGCACAAAGTGGATTGTGTATGGATGTTATATTAATTTACAAAGGTAATTGATAAAGTCCCTCATAAGAGACTGTTAATTATGATTCAAGATCATTGAATTGAAAACAAATTATTGAGCCTGTTGGGAAATTGGTTGAATAGCAGGAGACAGAGAGTAGGGATAAATGACAGGGCAGGTTGTAACTGGTGTTCCACATGGATGTGTGTTTAGGCGAATGTTCACTCTTTAAAGAGAGCAGAAACCACCTTGCCTCAGCAAGCTCTTAGCCTTTCTCTCCAAACACTTGGGTCTTCAAGATTGGTCTGATTCAGTCAACTGAATAACAACAAAATGTGGTGCCAGGCCAATGTTGGGTTTGGGCACAACACATTATTTAAAAATTCATTCATGGGATAAGGAGGTTGCTGGCTGGTCCCAGCATTTATTGCCCATCCGTAGTTGCCCTTGAGAAGGTGGTGAGGAACTGCCTTCTTGAATCGCAATAGAATGATTTATTGACTTTGAAGGAAGGTGTAATGTAAGACTCCGAGGAATAAACTGCAAGGGGAGGTTGCACAGCTAGGGTAAGTGTCTACAAATTAGGGTAATTTGATCTGAGCTTTCAAGGTAAAGGTGAACCGCGAGGTGAAATTGGGAGCAACTATTTTTGTCAGTTGGATAGTCTCAGACTGGGGATAGCGTCTAAAAATTAAAGTCAGACCTTTTGAGTGAAGTTTGAAAAGATGTTAGTGGCAGTTGATGTTTGATCAGTTGTTAATTTTGAATCTGAAGTTGATCGATTTTTGTTGACTAAAGGTGATCAGGGAAAGTGCGACAGTGGGAGTTGGCTGAAGTTTGACAACACATCCACCATGATCTCATTGAATGTCAGAACAGGCTGAAGCTTCCAGATAGCACCCTCCAGTATTTTGTATTTCTGTCACTTCTTCCTCAGTCAGTGTATTGTGACATTAAATCCTGTTCCAGAGACTACAGAGGGAGTGCTGTGTTCCACATGAAACATGAAGCTGAGGCCTCACTTGTTTCCCCCATGGGGGGAAAAGAGATTCTTTTTGAAGAAGCGACAGGATGTCGTCCCTGCTCATTATTTAGCCATCAGCTGCCATTATTAAACTGGATCTCATCAGTATTGCATCTTGTTGGATCATGGGATCTAGCTGTGTACAAATTGGCACTGTCCCGGAGGTGCCAAGTCTTTGTTGGGAAGGTGCCACCAAACCTTCACCACCCTACCCCCCAAAAAAAACAAAGTGCTGCCCCCCAATCTGGCCCCAGTTTCCCCCATTTGTTTGTGTGTAATCAGTGAGTGAGTGTTGCCAGATTATGCCCCAATGGGGAATTGCACCAAAGTTTAGATCCTGCTCCCTGCAGGAATCTGTCAGCTTTCCAGCCACAATCACTGGGCAAAAATCGAGAGCAGGGATTCTGGCTGAGTTGACCCCCCCACCCAACCCCCAAACCCCATCCACCGGCTCATCCTGTTACAATTATGTGAGGCATTTGGCTTGATTCAAGACCATCTGAGTCAGCTTGAGAATTGCTTGGTGTTTTCCCCACGTTAAAAGTTTCTATCCGACTGCTTGGGATAAGCACGACTTGTGTGAGCAGCGAATCCCAATGGCTAAGATCCCCTTTTACACTCACCGCAATATTCTGGGATGAGAGTCAGTGCAAAAGGTTCACTCGGATGATCCTGGTTATGGAGGGACTACCTTTTGAGGAGAGGTTGAGCAGATTGGGCCTGTACTAGCGGGAGTTTAGGGGAATGAGAGGAGACCTTATTGAAACATACAAGATTCTTGGGGGGTTTGACAGGTTAGATGTGGAAAGGTTGTTTCCCCTTGTGGGAGTGTCTAGGACCAGAGGGCATCATCTCAGAAGAAGGGGTCACCCACTTGAGACAGATGAGGAGGAATTTCTTCTCTGAGGGGAGTGAATCTGTGAAATTCTTTACTCCAGATGTTTGTTGAGGCTAGATCACTAAAGTATATTCAAGTATATTTTTAATGAGTAAGGGAATCAAGAGTTATGGGGGAAAGGCAGGAAAGTGGAGTTGAGGATTATTAGATCAGTTGTGATTTCATTGAATGGTGGAGCAGATTTGATGGTCAGAATGGGCTGTTTTTATTCCAACGTCTTATGGTCAATGGTTCCTATACCTGAACCGATAGCGCCTCAGTCCCACGTTCCTACCATTGGTTACCTGCCAAGAAGGGAAATAAGCAAGTGAGAGAACTGATCCTCAGACTCCTGTTGGCCCTGGCCATGGAGACCATCCACACATCCTGCTGGTGAGACACTGGTTGGTGTTGCTCAGCCAGAGAACCTGCCTGTTTTCCTCAGCCATGTTTACACCTGGGCAGGGCGTGGGCAGTATCCACTGGGACATTTGAGGCCTATTTGCAGGAGCAGTGAGCTTTGCCAATTCCTCAGCCCAATTTTAATTCATCTAATTTCAATGAAATTCTAGTGACATTTAAAATGGGGGATCTATAATCTATTTGAAACTTAATAACATGGTTATTCTCACTGTGTTGCCTCCCAACCACCAATACCTTGTGTGACTGCTGCCCCCCACCACTGGTATCTGGGGTAACTTTGTGACCCCACCCAACCACTTGTCTCCATGGTAACTTTGCAATGCCTCCCAATCACTAGTTTCCATGGTGATATATGATATACCGCAGCTGCTTGCATCCCATGGGATTACCATGGGTACCTCCCAGTCTCTCTCACTGGTGTCTAACATTGGGTATCCACAGTGGAAGAGTGTACCATTTTGGTAATCATTGGTTTCCATGGTGACAGCACCTGTTGCCCTGGTGACCTGCAGTATCCATGGCAAAATGAAATTCTCACAGTGAGCGTGCGAAGATCTAAGCTGCCAGGAGCCTTAGTCACAGCTGACTTGCTGCTGACGTTCTGAGTTGAGTTGACTCATGGCTTGTTCCCACCTTGTAACAGCACTGGATCACAGCTTAACGTTGAAGCCTGTAGGAGGAGGGGGAAGAGGCAGAGAACAGAGAGCTTCCTGGGGGTGGAAGAGCGAGTCAGCGCTTCCTATGATTTGTTGGAAAGAAATAACTTGCAGTTAATCAGCACCTTTCATACTTCAGATGAGTGCTTTACAGCCATTGATTTATTTTTGAAACACAAATTGCACATGGTATAACAGAGAATATAATACTGTAACAGGCCACTCAACCCAACATGAGTATAGTCTACATGGGTCATTATTTCATCTCACCCTTGTTAACAGCTGATA